TGAGAAAGGATTTTACTCCACATGATGCAAAAATCTTTAAAAACCTCAGACAATCTGATGGTGACATGCAACAGACATCTGCTGTTATTGATTGCAAATGAGAAAAAAGAAAGAAGTCTTGGCAAATTAGCTGGTTCCACATGAGTTATATAACTACTGTTAGATTACTATGGAGACTTGTAGTAGTAATAATAGCAGCAGCTAAAGTAGAAGTACCTGTAACCATGACAACACTACATCTGCCAACAATTATCATTATTATTATTATAGCAGAGAAGATACTAGCTTTGAGGTTATGAAACAGCAAAATATAGCCAGAATGTGCAAAGCCAGTCTTAAATTGTTTTTGCATAATAAAATATAAGCTCATCTTTTCTATTTTCTCATTAAATCTACTTAAAAAAAATTACAGAAATATATTTTCAACTATAGTATCCCTTTAACAAGCTGAAATCTATCCACATTTTATTTTTCAGTTTGAGATTAAAATAATTGTTATATCAAAAATGTTCAAAACTTCTTAAATTAATCAGAATGTTGGTTTTAAAAAGTTTTAACGAGGCCACAGTATAATGAAGGTTGGGAATCATTTATTTTAAACAGCAATTATTTCTTTGTTCATACACTTAATTCAATGGTGAATATTAATCACATAGATCAAACATTATACAGTGAATATTTGAGATACAAATTCAGCTAATAACTATGTCAGGCTACAGACTTGCATAAAATGGAAAAACTATATTGAATCCATTGCTAGGTCAGCTGCTAAAAAAATTGGTTCACTGTGCCGTGCAAGACAATTTTTCTCTCCACAATCTATCTTGCATATCTATAAGTCTACCATTCATCCATGTTTAGAATATTACTGCCACGTATGGTCTGGTGCATCTGCTATTTACCTTCAGCTCCAAAGAAAATTCAGCAATATTACTCGTCCTGATCAGGCGGCTCAGCTTCAGTTACTTTTCCACTGTTGTAAGGTTCCCTCTGTGTCTTTTCTATAAATACTTTCATGGTAATTATTCAGATTAGCTTTTCGTTATTGTACCTAGACTTTTTGAATTTAAGTGCAGTACTAGACTGGCATCAAGGTATCATCAATTGACTGTTGAACTATCTAGATGTAACCTTAAGTTCTATGTAAACAGTTTGTTTTTTTTCTTGCACTTCTCGCTTGTGGAACACCCTTCTGGCTCCATGCTTTCCAGTCAATTTTAATCTGCAAAAATTTAAATGCAATGTCAATTGCTATCTACTGTTCTCCTGATTACTCTTTTCTCTTTCTGCTCATTATTAATGAGCCTGTTCCTAATTCTTCCACATCCTGTAGTCCCTTGTGTCATAGTGGCTTTACTAGCTTGCATAGGGTGATACCGGTTAAAAAATAAATAAATATATCTTTATACCACTAGACTTTGGAGAAATTTCCAGAAGCACTAAGTGACTTATCTAGCAGCAATTCTTCAAAAGCATTTCACTTCACTGACAAATAAGCAGTACAAATATCATCAGTTTCAATGTTTCATTTTAAGTATCTGCAATTTAGACATGGGTGATATGTTGAGTGCTTTCCTAGCCAAGGCTTCTTGTATTATCACAAATGTTTTAAAATCAACCAACTCACAAGATCTTACTTTGCATTTTAAAGATGGCTTCAAAAATAAAACAGATTATTTTTTTAGCCAAACAAAGGCATAAGCGTCAAAGTATTCTTTTAAAGGAAATCAATGTACTTGCTATAACTATATACAAAGGGATATGGCTGAATGATTAAAACTGACCATGAAGCACAGATTCATATCTCACCATGGTCAATTCATTAAGGCAGTGCTTTCTTCAGAATATTGACCTGGCCAAACAATCACACTGTGCAGCACCATTGGGAAAGGCGTGAAAAAAATCATACTGCAGGTTGACCCAAGCCTTGTGAATGAAAATGGGTTAACAAAACTCTTCAGAAACCATTAACAGTTGTGTGAGCATAAACTCACAAGTCATTTGTGGCTGAGGGTTTGATCATACTGAACTTATGCTCAAACCAGGTCATACTATCTCTCCCAGAAAGTTTACGTAAATTCTGCTCAGTATAGTTGTAGAATAAACAGGTCCTTTAATGCATTAGAGAAATACAACTGTGCCAGAGCTGTTTCCTACAATAGAGCCACTCAAGCAGACAGGTATACTCAGAAACTGAGCAGCCAGCCATTATTACAGGAGGTGATGCTAAAATACTATCAACCCAACTCACTTCTTGAAATATGACTAAGGGACCAAACATCAGAATTTTTTAAAAATGTCTTCATGGTAGGCAGAGAACTTCTCAATACTTTGTATAATAAGCAAGTCAAAATAAGAGTAATTAAACCTGATTTACAAGCAGATTGGGGATTTAAAAAAAAAAAAATTTCTTTAAGGCTACAAGCAGTGAATTGAATTGTCTCAGAAATGCCATTTGCAGGAAGACAGTGCATTGATGTTAAACTGATTTTGAATTGCTTGCAATTGTTAAATTACAGACTTTGATTAAGATGAATATGAATGAGTCTAATGCTGCAGTTAACATACAAAGACTTTCAAAGAATCAAGATTAGTTGAGGTCTTTATTTTGTGAACAAGATTATCTGAGAAAATTTCAAAGTCATGATAGACTATATTTAAATAATGAACAACAATTTCAGAAATAGTGTTTTATTGCATCATTCACATTTTTATTGAATTTCATTTTCAATCTAGAGGCAATATGTATTTTGCAGACTTTTTTTTTTAGATGTATAAATTATTATCAGAAATTTAGTGTTGATCACATAAACATAATACTTGATGTGTGGCAGGGGCGATGTCACCCCTGAAATAATAATAAGGATAATAAAGGAGAATATGCTGTAAAACAGAAAACACCAAGTGAAAGAGAGGCATTTTCAAATAACCAAGACGTTAATATGCTGTAAAGACTTTGAAATGTAAATGTTACAGAAAGTTAATTTAAAACATAAAATACAATCTTTTTGTAAGTGTACAAAGGATATCAGATTACTAATAGAAAATTACTGGAACAATAATAATTTGGAACTTTTAAAAAAAAAAAAGAAATGGATTTTGACACTATAAGAATAAAAGTTAAAATTAAGGATGTTTTGATCTAGAATTTATTTTTAAAACAAGAATCTCTGTAGTTTACAAATAGTGGCAGAATAATTAATAGTGAGGTGATAAACAATAGCGTCTTGTGAACCTTGGAAACCAATCGATGAAAAAGTAAATTGTTTATTCTCAGAGGAGTGAAGTTGTACATTGGTAGTATGTCAGCACTAAAAAAACAGATATGTCACCAGTCTGGGACATGTGAGGCCGGTTCTCTTAATAAAGAGGCAAGGCAACCAGAAGAGTCAGAGTTTTGGGTTCGTCTGTCTTCGAATGCAGTCAAACTGAGTGGAGAGATGTCAGAGACTGAAAGGAAGCATCCACTGTGTGTCGCTGAAGCTGAGGGTAAAGAAGCAAAATACCGCCACTAACATCTAAGTACCACTACTCCTGCTACTACTAATACTACTACTGAGAACAGAAACAGCAAAGGTTGTAGTAGTTAATTTAATTTAATGACTAATAGAGGTGACATACTATTTTCAGTATGTTGAACAAAATGTTAGATAAAATATTATCATAAAAACAACAAGCTTAGTTTATTAGTCTTTACTTTAAACAATATACTTTTATTTTACAAGGAGATCTGAAGATCATAACAGATGATATTCAAATGGTAAATCATGGAAAATAGTTCCGCTTTAATTTCTGGGATGAGGAGTTATCATTATTCACACTATTTACATTTTGACTATTGTCCTCATCTTTGTTACCATCACAATGTTTTAGCCATTGCACCCTCTTCAGGACCTTCAACAGGTGTATATCGATCCAGGTAACCTAGAAGGAATTCAAAACTAAAATCTTTATTTGATCAATGGCCAAAATGTGACAACAATTGTCTGAAGAAAATCTTGTAAATAATGAAAAAACAGTTCATCTACATCTCTTATATGCTGCGTCCCATCAGATAATGAGGGCTCTCCACAACTTCCTATCCTTTGTAGCCATCAGTAATGTTTGTCTTTTTACTATCCCTCCCAGTCCCTGTACTTTCATCCATTTACACAAACTCATTAAGAAGGATAGGTTACTTACTGTTTCACCCTGCATCTCTTGCCTTCAATATATCCTGTGGGTGTCAAATTACCCAAGCACTCTTTCCTCATTATGTGTTTCAGAAATTTAAACTATCTCTTTCTGATTCCAAGAACTAGTGTGTGTTTAGCTCTAATTTTTCTTAAAACTTCCTCATTGCTTACATGTTCCACCCACAATATTCTCAGCTTCTTTCTGCAAAAGCACATCTGTTGTCTCAAGTTTCCCTTTCATCTGTGAGGAAATTATCCAGTATTCACATATAGGAGGATTGATATTACATAGTAGTTTAACACTATATATATTGTTTCTAACAATTCATAATACTTTGGATGGTATCTTTTGTTATTCTAATACAGCTTTGTTTTTGTGTCGCATTTTCCAACAAAAGACACATATACTTAACCTCAGGAAGAAATACTAAAATTTCTAGAGCACATAATGAGGAAAGGAGGCTTAGAAAATTTGATGCTCACAGGACAGATTGAGAAAAATATCGCTAGAGTAAATAGATGCTGCAGTGATAACAAAAAGACAAAATTTATTAAGTGCTACAAAAGACAGGAAATTGGAGAGAGCCATGATCACTAATGTCCTGAAAGGACACAGAACAGAGATGATGATGATGCTATATTTTAGTAATAAAATTTCTTTTGCCCATTGATCAAGATAGAAAACTTTGAAGGCCTCATCAACATTAAGAACACTATTAAATGACATCCTAAGAATTCTCAAGGAATTAGTGATGGTACTAAACCCATTCAAGAGCTTAATGATAAGTTGGTAAGTTTAGTAGAATAAAGAAATGTAAATATTACCTGAGACGATCATTGGCTGATTCTAGATCACTGTGACACATTGCACTGAATCGAGATACAAAAAAGTCATAACGCCGATGATATGATGGAGTGTCTTCTTCTATGTTAGTAAACTTCACAAACTGAAAGGGGAAAACAAAATACAAATTAAGATTTGTTTTAAAAAGAAACATTTGGAAAATATAATATCTGTAGTATATTTAATTTAGTAAATATTCAGTATATAAATTTTAATAAATCTAACATTATTTCTCCAAACTTCAATTTCTCAATTCTAGACTGATATTAAATTTAAATAAAATTAATTTATGTCATTTAAGAATAAAAGATAGTAAATTTATCATTGTTTTGGTTGGTTGATTTTGTTTAGTGGCATATCAATCTGTATGGGTTATTTAATGCCGAAATCTAAATATTTTAAATTCAATTGCATGCCTTCAATTACAGATAAAACATATTGTTGGTCACTTTGCTATAAAACGTATTGTTGGTCATTCTGCTATAAATATGTACTGCTGGTCATTTTGCTATAGATAGATATTGCTTGTATTTTTACTATATGTATTGCTTATCTTTTTATACTTTCAGTGTTTTTTCCCTATTTGTCCATTACTGGGACCCTAACAGGTGCTACCATCCCAAGTCAGGATGGACCAGGAAACAACAGCAATTAAGAGCTGATTCCACACTCCCCCAAACCTTCAATCTTCCAATTGCTGGTCATTTTGCTATAAATAGATATTGCTGGTATTTTTACTATATGTATTACTTGCCAGATCGTCATACCCAGGACTATATCATTATTTTCAAGAGAACTTTATTTATCAGAAAGTGTTCACCGAAAGCATCTCAAATTGATCTATTTGCAATATGCAGGCATAAAGATAATATTAGAAGTATCACAAGAAAGGAGTTCCCGCTGCATCATTTTCTATTAATGATTATTCAAGATAATGTCAAACATTGACAAATGAAATTCTCAGGCCTTAAGGTAAAAACAAAAAAAAAAGTTGACAAAAGAGACTGCTGAATTATTAAAAGAAAGAAAAAAAATTTTTTAAATATTTTAATAGTAGGATAAGAGAAAAACTGACAAAATAATTATGACCACTGATAATTATTTGATAAAATAATGAGAAGACCAAATGCTACTAGTTATATTTTAAGTCCCATTTGCAGTTCCAGAATGAATGTAATCTTATCAGTACCATATCTATATGGGTCATGTAATAGCCAGTGTTGAACTGTTTGGAAAATAACATCACATTTAAATTATTATTCAAAATTAGAGTCACTAGTGTTAAATCAAGGTCAAATACTAACCAACATATGCTACCGAAAGCTGTGTTCTTTTTAATAGTTTCTCTCTTAAATGTTATGTCCTTTCAAGATGTAAATGATTATGAGTCACCATAGATTTGTCTTTATTATCTGTTAACTGCCAGGCTTTATTCATAAAGACAGAGTGGTTTTCCCATTGCCTTCTCCTCCTCCATTGTTTAAAATTCAGAAGTTTTTCCTTCTCTTACACTGGGTCTTTGTCTTTCTCTCAAAGGGAATTATGCATTGTAAATGTGAATGTAAGAGACAAACTTGGAATTTAAACTCTGCTTGTCTATTCTACTTTCCATGCAGGTAATGGTTACATGATCCACATATCCTTTTCATAGCTTAGGCAGTGCCAAATTTACCTATAGACTTAGCAGCCTAGGGACTCAAAATTTAGAGGGCCTCCAGTCAAGATGTATAATATTTTTATCACTGTCATAGGTCTTTCTTACATATGTTGTCATAACACATTGTAGACTAAATAACCCTTCTGTAATTTTAAACCCTCATCATCATCATCCTTTTGTTTAACACTCTTCCATTTTCCTCCACTCATGAGAATGGGGGATCTGGAGGGGCCTCACAAGTGGAATAGCCTAGGGCATCTTTTCATCTAAATCTACCCCTGAGCTTCAGGTAACATTTAACTCAATCAAAGACAAAATCTTTAATGAGTCATCTTGCCAACTGCATGGAATATAACCTAAAATCAAGGTAATAATTTCAAGGATTGTAACACACTGATAAATGTCCTGATAATGACCGAATCCAGTCAAAAACTTGGAACCTTAACAAGTAACCCAAACTGTGAACAGTTTCTTTATACCAATGATTCTCAACCACTGTGCCATGGCACACTAGTGTACCATATGATCCTCTTAAGTGTACCACAAAATATTGTCATGGCATACATATATATATGTGTGTGTGTAAGTAGTAATAGTTCAGCGTTAGTATTTTACTAAATAAGCTACGCAAATAGTTGAATTGAAATAAAGTAAGTTCATATTTGTATGCGTACTTTTAAAAAATTTATGATTTTATTTCATAACTTTTAAAAAAAATTTGCTAAATATGCTGTGATATTTTCATTTGCTCCTAGAAAAAAAAAATGGCTGAGAAACACTATCATCACTGATATACAGAAATTAATCTTTTTATTACTTCAAATGTCATTTTTAGTAGATACCCCATTTCTTTTAAACAGTATTTATTAGGTTGGTGCAAAAATAATGACATAATAATGTCATTTTTTGACGTATTTTTTAACGTCAAAAAACGACATTCTTACGTCATTATTTTTGCACCAGCCTAATATTTTGTCTACTGGTCAGAATAATTGAGAAAACTTACAGAAAATGTGTCCTCAGACAAGATTTGAACATGTGCCCTACTTTTCAGGAGGAACCACCATGCTTTTATTGCTCAGCTAAAAAGAGCTTGACAATAAAGCAAAGTTCTATTTTGACTTTAAAGCACACATTCTCGTTCAGATGTTTACTCAAAATGCAGGTCTGCACTGTTTCATATCCAAAACATTTAAACAAAGCAATTGCTAAAGAATTAATGGATTTTATTTTTTAATCCGATATATATTTTTTAATCTACAAACAAGAAAAAGATTACAGATATAAATTATATATAAACAGCATGGGCAGAGAAATCAATGCTGTATG